AGCCGAGTGCCTGACCAGCCGCGAACGAAAAAAACTTTCAATCGGAATACGTTAAATCGAATCACGTTCGCCTCTCGAGTGAAAATAGTCGAGAACAGGTTGCGTTTCCACCTGAGCACCCTTCGTCATTAGCCGTCCACCTGAAAACAAAGTGTCTCATCCCCTCCCAGAATCGATTACACGACGCTTCTTTGCCTTCTGTTTTCGACCGGGAACCGTTACACGCGATTCGAATCCAGGAATTAGTTTCACGAGCTCCTCCTTTTTTCGTCGCGCGAATTGTAATCGAAGTTTTGGAGGGCGAAAGTTTATCGCTCAGAAACACCGGCTAATGGCGCTTCCACGGTGAAAAAGTGCTGATGGGGTTATTTGTTTGAGAGGGGATTGAATTCTTCCTTGGATGTGGCTTATATGGTCTTTGTATTGGTATTATTATTCGTGTTATAGGTATTGATATTAAGGGGTGTATTGAAATAAGGGGTTGTAAATTTCAATTTGACAAACTTGAGGATTTTTATATATTTAATATTCTGACATATGTGGATTTTTATGGTGGTCGTATTATTATACATTGATGTTGAGAGGTGTATTGATATAAGGGGTTGCAAATTTCAATTTGACAAACTTGAAGATTTTTATATATTTAATATTCTGACATATGTGGATTTTTATGGTAGTCGTATTATTATACATCGATGTTGAGGGGTGTATTGATATAAGGGTTTGCAAATTTCAATTTGACAAACTTGAGGATTTTTATATATTTAATATTCTGACATATGTGGATTTTTATGGTGGTCGTATTATTATACATTGATGTTGAGGGGTATATTGATATAAGGGGTTGTGAATTTCAATGTGACAATCTTGAGAATTTTTATATACCTCAGCCTCTGGGTTATGTGGAGTTTTAAATTGGTTATATTATTTACATTGATGTTAAGGGGTGTATTGATATAGGGGGTTGCAAATTTCGCTTTGACAAACTTCAGGATTTTTATATTTTTTATATTCTGAGCTATGTGGAATTTTGCATTGCTTATGTTATTATTATGCATTGATATAAGGGGTTGCAAATACTTTGACAAACTTGAGGATTTTTATATGACCTTCCGTATCTAAATTTTGAAGGATAGACTGCTTTTATAAAAATATGCGCGCTGTACATTCTTAGTGTCCATATTTGCAAATGAAGATTATCGACAAATAAATACTTTAGAGTAACATGAACCTAATAATAAAAGCAGATTAGTTGTAATAATAAAAAGAACGTGAAGACGCTGATTGTCATCATGAAGGATGATTTACAGAGGAGACGTAGTATTAAATACGAATAAATATTGAACACGACTCTGTGCTCTTTTCATCCCATGATATTCGATTCTATGAATATTCATGATCGTATCAGCTATGATAAAGTTCGCGCTGAATACGAAAATGAAAAATTATCAGACGTATAAATAAAGAAGACGTTGATTATTCAGAGGGCTGATTCGACTTGTACGATGATGTTACTTTTTCACTTTTGTCGATTTTATTAATTCTTTAATTGCGAAGTAGTTGCTATTTAATTTATTGGCGTGACTGAGGTGTTTTTAGAGTATTAAATTTGTGGATTTGAAAATTGGGAGAGCTGAAGGTTTAGAAATTTCAATATTTGGAGATCGAATTTCTAAATTTAAAGGTTGAGACTTTGAAAATTTAAAAATTTGATGATTCAGTAGATGCTAGAATTTTCAGAAGTTGACATATAGAAGTCCAGTTTTTCATACTGAAATACGTATGAATATAAAATAAACATTTCTCTGTTGATTTTAATTATCAGCAGTGGTTATTTTACAGCTGACAAATTAACAAAAGTACATCGCCTTAACAAAAATACACCTCGCTAATAAAAATACATCGATTCACAAATAATCAAAAAATTCTGACCGTCGCGATATTTCCGTTTTTCGAGAAGCATGAATGGAATGTTGAGGAAATAACTGTGAATACCGTAAACGGCGTTGAAAAATCTAGTAGCGTTTCCCGCATGAATCGAGTTATCGTTAGTCTGTAGTAATGGCTATTCGTCAGCTAGCGGGAATTGCTTCTCGAAATGGAGTGGTGGTTGGTTATAACGTACTATATCGGCTGGCTGCTATTTGAAAGTCAAATATTCGCATGGAAGATGGCAGGAGGGCTGGTTAGAGGAAAAGGGGTGTGCATCAAGGTTTCACGAAAGGGTGAAAAGGAGGAAGAACCCTCGCGAGATCTCAAGACATTTCATAGCATCGTGATATCTACTGCTCCTAGACCGCAGACTTCATCCGATTAACGGCTGCTTCTGTAATGCGAGCATCCTGCCAAATTGCCTATGGTGGTTCACTTAATTAAATTCGAATCGACCCTGTCGTCTCGCTACCTTACCTTTCGATACCTTTTTCATCTACCAAATTTTCGTTTCTTACAACTTGATGCTCAAATTGGAAACTAAATTCATTTGTCTTTATCTGAATATCAGTTTATTAACATTCTGATTACTGTGTTCTAATTTTTGGACCTTGATCAGAAATATAAGATTGTAATTTAGAACGAAGTCACAGCATAAAATCTGCTGACTCACATACTTGAAGTCTTTCTTGATATACAGTATAAAAATAACCTGCACATGACGCACTGAACCAACATATGACGCATTCAAGCTACATAATGATATACTTAAGTTACATATGACACACCCTTAGCAGTTGCACTTGGCATTGATACTTTATAGTTTGTAGTTTCATATAGCAAGTCTGGTCGTTAAAAAAAAGTATCAAATTTCAAGTATCAGGTTTCAGGTATCATGTATTAAGTTCCAGCTATCAGGTTTCAGGTATTAAGTATCAGGTTTCAGTTATTTAGTATCAAGTTCCAAGTGTCAGATTTCAGGTATCAGTATCAGGTTTCAGTTATTAAGTACCAAGTTCCAAGTGTCAGGTGTCAGGTATCGAGTTTCAGGTATCAAATATCAAGTTCCATGTATCAAATATCAAGTTTCAAGTTTCAAATATCAAGTCTGGTCGTTCGAAGTGAAATTTATTTAGATACAGTCCACTTATACTCGTTGGGAATCTAATGATTCGCGTCGTTTAATCGTCACTTAATATTGCTGACGCTGCGACGCGCATACACTTAGTTCTTAACCCCTTGCCTTATGATTTATCAGGTGCGTCAGTCGAAACTAACTGATCACAGCTACAATATTAAAACAGAGAAGAAAAGTTGAAGTGTTATGTCAATTTTGTATTCGGCAATCCTTGACCGTGCAAATTATAATTGGACTTAAACTCCAAATTGAAGCGTATTCAAAATTCGAGTAAGATTTGTCACGTTTGAAGCGTGCATGTGTGGGTTGAGTGCGTCATGAGTATCTTGAGTGCGTCATCTGTAGCTTGACTGCGTCATCTGTAACTTGAGTGCGTCACTTATAGCCTGAGTGTCTCACTTGGAGCTTAAGTGCGTCATGTGTGGGTTCAGTGCGTCATGTGCAGATTCAGTGCGTCCTATGTAGCTTGAATGCGTCATCTGTAACTTGAGTGCCACATTTCTAACTTGAGTGCGTCCTGTGTCTGTAGAGTGCGTCATTTCTAACTTGAGTGCGTCGTGTGTCTATTGAGTGCGTCATGTATCTGTAACTTGGGTGCGTCATCTGCAACTTGACTGCGTCCTGTGTAGCTTGAGTGTCTCTTTTATAATTTGAGTGCGTCACTTACAGCTTGAGTGCGTCATATGTAGTTTGAGTGTGTCATATATCTGTTGAGTGCGTCATGTATCTATTGAGTGCGTCATTTATCTACTCAGTGCGTCGTGTCTAACTTGAGTTTGTAATATATAATTTGAGTTTGAGTGCGTCATCTGCAAATTAAGTGCGTCATCTGCAAATTAAGTGCGTCATCTGAAACTTAAGTGCGTCATCTGTAACTTGAGTGCATCATGAGTCCATTGAGTATCTTCTGAGTGCGTCACATATAGTTTGAGTGCGTCATGTGTGTATTTAGTCCGTCATATATGATTTAAGTGCAGTTACAGTCCACATATCACTCCTTTTGAATCTAACCTCTCTCTGATAATCCTACTGCTTCAATATATCCATTAATCTAAGAAGCAAATCGAAAGACACAATATTCCATCCAAAAGAACAAGATTCCCAACGAAGTTGATACACCATGACGAGCAAGAAAGAAGAAGATATTTCAGTGGAACACTTTGCAAAAGTGTATCAACGTTTCCATGTCACGCGTTTCAACCGAAAGCGACTGCATTTCCTGCTGCAACGAACGGAATAACAGAGATGCACGCGTAAAATTTACTCGTAAACAAGAAGTTTTCTGCTGCATACGGATCGACATGTTAAAAATTGTAAAACAGCAATGTACATTCATGTCTTCGAATAATACGGGCAAACATATTGTAGCTTGAAACCGTACCGGGCATCCCGGTGATTGAATGGAAAGAATACTCCCGGGTACAATGAACTTTTTATCGAACTCGTTCGATTTTTTCCATGATCGAACTTCTGCATTTGGAAATTTTTAACGTTCCTTGCTACAAGTCGGATGGACAGAAATTTTTGAAGGTTTGCAAGGTATGAAAGTTTTAAAGTTAGAATTATTGAGATTTTAAATTGGTGCGTTCGAGGAGCTATAATTTGAAAGTTTAAGAAGTTGTGTATTTACGTGATTGAAAATTGAAAGATTTGAATATTTACAATTTTAAAAATGCAGGTATTTGAATATTTATCATTTCAAAAGTGCAGGTATTTGAATATTTCCAGCTTCGAAAGCAAAAAGCTCAAATACTGAGAAAAATGATAAAAGCTAAACATCTGCAGGAATAAAAGACCTAAAAATTCCTATGTCACAGTTTCGCAAATGCACCGGTATCACGTAGAAAATGTCGAGTACCAGAAAAAGAGTGGAAGGTACAATTACCCGGGCAAACAAACGAAAAGAAGTGTTATTAATTAATTGACTCACCAGAACTTTCACCATGTATATCCTCCAGCTCTAAAATGCAGGTTTGGTCGAACCGAGCAGCAGTTCAAGATTTCCACTGCAACGGACCGTAAAGTTGCGCTGGAAAAAAAAATTTGTTCGCCCCGTTTAATGGTGAAACTATCAGGTCGTGTTTGCCCGGGCAAATATTTCCGTGCAACGGCATACGAAAGAACAGTCGCGAGCCTCGTTTCTATTCACCATCGTGGAACGCTTCGGAAATTGGGTTATATAAATATCCTTCGGAGGTGTTGTCGAGAGAGAATGCTTTTTTCCAAAGAAACAGTAACCGGCTCTGCTCTTTTTCACCGCGAATACGCTACGGTTCCGGCCCCTCTCTTACATCGCATTTCATTATTTCGCGTCTATTCACCCGGTTACTGGGTTAACGAAGCTACAAAACCGCCTGTTGCCTGCTTCCAGTTTAACGAAGTCCTGACGTGCTGGAGAATAGTATATGCGATTTCTTTTTTTTTTTTTAGGTTTATCTGATATATTTTGGAAGGATGGTTTGATTGGTTAATTAGCTAGTTAGGAAAATATGGGTGGATTTGATGTAATTGTTTGGAGTGGGTGAGAAAAGAAGTTGGCGGTTTTAGAATCATGTGATGCTCAGGTTTTTTTTTGAAACTGTGATTTTAACAATATGAGATAGTGTAATTGTGAAATTCTGTAATTTTGAGATTCAAAATTTAGAAATGTTGAAAATTTTCAAGTTTGAAAGTGAAGTAGAGGAACCTTAGGTATGAACAAGGAAAAATTTCAAAATTTAAATTTGAAAATTTGGAAATTTTAGGATCAAATTTGAAAATTCAAAAATTTAAAGAACATCAAATTTCAACATTTAAAAATTCAAAGAATATCAAGTTTGAATATTAAAAATTTCCAGACATCTCAAATAAGAAAGTACTTATTCTTAAAATTTCAAAATTGAATCAATACTCAATGAATACTTGATACACTAATATTCTAAGACTCTAAAATTCCAAAATCGTAAGATTTCAAAATTTTAAAACCCATAAACCTTGAAATTCCAAAGCCATAAAAAAGATTCAAAGTGCTGAAGTCTATAAATCCCAAAGTTTTCAAGTCTTAAAGTCATCAAGCTTTAAAATTCATAAATTCCAAAAATCCTAAAAATCCTAAAAATGTTAAAAACTCTAAAATTTCTAAAAATTCTAAAAATCCCAAAAATACCAAAATTCTAAGAACCATAAAAATCATAAAAATCTTAGAAATCCTAGAAATCCTGGAAATTCCAGAAATCCTAGAAATTCCAGAAATCCTAGTAATCCTAAAAATCCCAAAATTTCAAAATCCTAAAATCCTCAAAATCCCCAAAATCCTAAAAATTCGAAAAATCCTCAAAATCCCCAAAATCCTAAAAATTCTAAAAATCCTCAAAATCCCCAAAATCCTAAAAATTCTAAAAATCCTAAAAATCTTAAAAATTCCAAAATTCTAAAACTTCCAATATTCTAAAAATCCTAAAATTCCCAATATTCTAAAAAACCTAAAACTCCTGAAAATCCCAAAAATCCTAAAAATTCCAAAAATTTCAAGAATCCCAAAAATCTAAAAAATTCCAAAAATCCCAAAAATCTTAAAAATCCCAAAAATCCTGAAAATCCCAAAAATCCCAAAAATTCCAAGAATCCCAAAAATCCTAAAAATCTTAAAAGTCCCAAAAATCCTAAAAATCCCAAAAGTCCCAAAAATCCCACGAATTCCAAAAAATCCCAAATTTCAATCTTTCAAAGTCCCTAATCCCACAAGTTACAGAATTAAAAAATCGCTAAATAGTTTTTAATCCCAGAATTAAAAACTCCTATATCAGAATATACAAAGTTAATTAATTAGAGGTTAGACTCAACTTACCAAGACAATAGGCTAATTCGTTCATTGCAACGTCGTAGTCCTGCATTGAGGAGTCGCGAGCGTCGTACAGAACACACAAAGGTCAATCACAGACTGAAGACGGAATACACGAAGTTTCGACTAAACAACCGGTAGGAGACGATGTTTGAAAGTCGAGAGACGGATTAATTTGGCCTGTGTGAAACAGCACGGTTCAATGTTTTCGTGTTTTCTTCTAACAGATGTTCCTGAACAAACTTCTCTATACAATTTTCGAGGACTCTTTAATCTTTTCATTCGACGGGGTTAAAAATCGAAGTGTTGTATACAACGCTATCATAAATTCTATTTTTAATTGTCAAGATTGACATAACATGTCAAGGTTGGTGTAGTATAACGTGTTGAAGTTGGTATGATAGCAAGTGAAATGTGTGAAGGAAATGAGTTATATGTATATCTTCAGAAAATAAATTTTGTGAATAGAACTGTTGGATTTCATTGTTCATAGAAGTGTAAACATCATAGATTTAGCGTTGAATACACTAACCACAACTCAATCTAACTCTTTTTTAGTTATCACCTTTTTCTGATCAATGTCTATCTGTATTTCTAGCTAGAGAATGGAAGATTTTATAAAATATTGAAAATTTTTTAAAGGTAATTTGGAAAATGAGCACTTATAGTGTTGAACACTTACGAATTTCCTAAACTGTAAAATTACCAGCTTTGCAAGTTCTGAAATTGTCAAATTCTTAAATAATCAAGTTTTCAGACTTCTAAATTTATAAATTATCAAGTGATCAAATGTTCAACTTTCCAAATGTGTTCTAAATTCTTAAAATTCTATAATGCAGAATTATCAAGATTTCCAATTTTCAAGTTTCTGTAGCACCAAATACCCAGAGCTTCAAATCCCTTAATCTCTACAGTTCTAAATTTCTAAATGACCAAATCAACAAATTTCCAAGTTCTCAAGTGTCAAATTCTCAAATTAGCAAGGTCTCAAACCTTCAAACCTCTAAATTATCAAATTACTACAAATTTCAAGATCCCTAAATCTTCACATGTTCAAATCCTCACATGTCCAAATCCTCACATGTCAAAATTCTCATATGTCCAAATCCTCACATCCCCAAATCCTCACATGTCCAAATACTCACATGTCCAAATCCTCACATGTCCAAATCCTCATATCCCCAAATCCTCACATGTTTAAATCCTCACATGTCCAAATACTCACATGTCCAAATCCTCACATGTTTAAATCCTCACATGTCCAAATACTCACATGTCCAAATCCTCACATGTTTAAATCACATGTCCAAATTCTCATATCCCCAAATCCTCACATCCCCAAATCCTCACATCCTCAAATACTCACATGTCCAAATCCTCACATGTCCAAATCCTCACATGTTTAAATCCTCACATGTCCAAATACTCACATGTCCAAATCCTCACATGTTTAAATCCTCACATGTCCAAATACTCACATGTCCAAATCCTCACATGTTTAAATCCTCACATGTCCAAATACTCACATGTCCAAATCCTCACATGTTTAAATCCTCACATGTCCAAATACTCACATGTCCAAATCCTCACATGTTTAAATCCTCACATGTCCAAATACTCACATGTCCAAATCCTCACATGTCCAAATCCTCACATCCCCAAATTCTCACATGTCCAAATTCTCACATGTCCAAATCCTCATATGTCCAAATTCTCTCATTCCCAAATCCTCACATGTCCAAATCCTCACATTTCCAAATCCTGACATGTCCAAATTCTCACATGTCCAAATCCTCACATCTCCAAATTCTCTCATTCCCAAATCCTCACATGTCCAAATCCTCACATCCTCAAGTCCTCACATGTCCAAATCCTCACATCCCCAAACCCCTAAATTACCAAGTCCCCTATCCCCACATCTCCAAACCTCCAAATCCTCAAATTTCCCCCCAAAGTACCTCCAAACCCTCCAAAATAAATTTGTACACCAACGCAAGCGCACAAATCAGTCACCTCCCAACAGTATCAAGTCCCCATCGCACATCCTAATTACCTCTCCGGCTCTTTCGTCAAATAAAAAATGAACATCCGTCATATAATAAACTTCCATGAATAATCTACGACAACGCCATAGAAGACCGAAAGCTGCAAAATTCAAAGGACCCGTCAGGAGAATTCGCTACATGTTTAATTTGTTTTTCATCAGCGAGGCATAAAAATTCCGGTGAATTCGTCGCGCAAATCCGGACACGAGCTTGACCCACATCGAGTCGTCATCCGTGATATTTGTTCTCTCCCTTTTTTTCGAGTGTAAAAAAAAACAAGGAACTGTGTTAAGCGTTTCTAAGAAATCTCATTTACAAGGATCCCTATTCATCCAGCGTCCGCGAATGCAAAAACACCGGAATTTCGTTAAGTATCGCGATTTTGGGGCAGTACATACATTAGTGCGCGTGCACAATGCACGCTTTAGAGTTTCGTTGTTCGCTCACGGAGCCGGCAGTTGGGCAGACCTCTTTTTTACCGTGCCGGTAATTAACTTAAAAATGCCGACACCGTGGAATACGGAAACGAAACGGCACCGCTTCTCTTTTATGCTCTTTCTCTTTTACCTCCTCGTTCCCGCGCGCCTTTTTTTCGCGTCTTTTCTTTTTACACGCGCCCTCGTGGACCCTGCGCATATTTAACCCCGGCCCGGAGGCCATTCTTATGTTAATACAGCTGCAATTCGTTCGAGAGTTTGTTGTTTGGTAATTGTGCGACATAGGAAATCGTCGACGATTAGTACTTTTGGATGTTGCGTTTTTGGGAGAATTTTTTTTTGGTTTGGGGGTGTGGGTTGGGGGTGGATGTTGTGGGGTTTGGTTTTTGGTGAGTGAGGTGCATGTGGGGATTATTTTTTGGGAGTGGTGTGGATGTTTATGGGGATTATTTGTTGGAAAGTGGTGTGGATGGTTCATTTATTGGGGATGGTTTTATATGGGGATTGGAAGGTGGTTTGGGGAACGACAAATGGTTAGGTTTGTTTGGCAGTAGATTTTAGTATTTAGAAATTACTGTATTATGAAATTTATAAATTAGTACATTGTTAAATTATCAAGTTATCAAGTTGCCAGCTTATCAAGCTGTTAAGTTGCCAAGATATTAAGTTACTAAGGTATCAAGGTTTCAGGTTACCAAGTCATCAAGTTATCAAGGTTTCAAGTTAC